ATTCGCTGGTGCGAGAATTTTTACCGGGTCGTTGCCTAACAATGATGACATTCCTCTATTTTTATATAAACGCGCATATGTCAGAATATTAATGATGGTATTATGTCAGTAAAAATAGAAGGGTCAAGGTATACAGTTACTACAAAAAGGCAAGAAGTACAAGTAGGGACAAGTAACAGATATTCAAGAATTAATAATTTATTTTCCTATCCTCCTTAATCTATAACGTGCGAATAAAGAACTCCATATAGACATTCGCGACGCAATGGATGCCTTGTGGAGGGACCCCGACTGCCGAACTCTGTCTTACAGTGCACTGGAATTTAATAACAGTGATGATGTTTATGGTCCGGTCTATAAAACCGAAATTAACGGCCGTGGAAATTCGTTGCGCTGACCACGCGATACCCTCTATCCGCTAAAGTTGGCACTAACTTCGCCTACAAGCGGCGGTCGCTCGGTCGGTATAGTTCGCTTGCGGACTAAAACCACGGAGTAGTAGAAGTAGTATATGATAATGATTATGGTCGTGAGTAACAAAGTATGCAGCTCACAAATGGGTAGAGAGGCGTAGTTGAATGGTGGCAGCACAACTGATTCCAGCAAAACAGATACTGAGCATATTATCCAGCTCGCTGTAGTATTGAGATATATCTCTGCTGAGTTTAGCGTGACAAGAAAATCATTTAAAATATGATATATAATCTATCAAAATGGGAGTAATGACATTGGATTTCCGCTTACAATTATGTCAGCATATTTTTGAAAGAATTGTGTGGCTATCTTCGTATAGAATATAATTTAGTTTCATATCTGTTGTGCATTAGTTTTTATAGGATCTTGTACCTGTATTTCCTGTTTGTATTTGTTCTATTTGCACGAAATAGAAACAAAATATTTTGGAAAAAGATGTTATGTTGAAATCTGGCTTTTTTTTTTACGCATTCCAGAGATTTAATTTAAACCAAAGAGAGAAAGACTGTGTAACGTTGGAGACGTAATAATACCCAGAGGATGATGTACAGGTATAATACTCGTACTTTGCGCAAAGCCAGCACCGAGACCACACGAGGGGATTACCCTTCGTGTGGTTGCATTCAACTTACAGCACTGCGATATGCTATTTTGGCCCGGTCTGCGTACAAGTACAGCCGATTCGGGGGTTGCGTAATGAGCCATTGTTCAGGAGGGTAATAGTTTCTCCTGGTATCGTGACACTGTTTGGGTTCCACATATATCAAACAGTGTAACACGAAGCGACTCATTTGTCTTCTCATCATTAAACACACTTTCTACACTCTCATACGTTTCTAATGCAGGGCCAACCTGCTGCTTCAGCTTATTTCTTGCTTACCTGATTTTTCTACCGTGAAGATGGAAGCGACATGTTTCTCCGAAAAGTAAGCTGATTTTCAACAGACTACACGGCATTATATCCCAGAAGACAGAAATCGTCAAAATTACCGCTATGAAAGCCTCAAATCCTACAAGAAAAGCTATAAGCTACGTCAAGGGGGTAATTAGTTATGTTTTAATTTTATTTTTCTTGACCTCGGCACTAGCTGGAGGTGAGTGGTCAGCTTCACACCCCAGCCACTTTACCTCCGCGGAAAGACCTCCCTGGTACCCATTGTATAGGAAGCTATGTGGGCCCCAGAACCGGTCTGGACGACGCGGAGAACAGAAAAGTCTTGACCCCGACGGGACTTGAACTCCGACCTCTCGGTCATCCAGCCAGTAGCCAGTCGCCACTCCGGCTGCGCTATCCCGGCTGCCTGTAGGATGGAGGATAATATTAAAATTTATCTTAAAGAAATAGGATGGTGTGGTATAGCCTGGATTGATTTGGCGCAGGACACGGACCAGTGGAAGGCTCTTGTGAATATGGTAATGAAACTTCGGGTTCCATAAAATATTGGGATATTCTTGAGTGGCTGAGCGACTTGCAGCTTCTGAAGAACTCGTCTCCATGAAGTCAGTCATTGAGGATCAATCAGAGATGAGTGCTTACGCTCCTTTTCATAACCGCACACGAAGGAACTTGTAAACTTGTTTGCGTCTGCAGAAGGCCAGTAGCAAACAGGTAGCAGCTCATTCGGTACGCGCTGCTGTAGTAAGAAAGAGGTAACCACGGGAGAGACGTGTCGTGATTTCGAGACTCAGCTGAGGGGATTTGTTGTGAATCTAATCCATTTCGTTTCATAGCCCAGTATTTATTTGAAATAAGATAACGTAGGTCGTGAGGCCATTCTTTCAGGAGACATGTACACGTCATAACTCAGGAGGCGATTCTGCGAGTAACGAAGTCACCTGCTGCAACAGTAGGTCTGAATACAGAACATGTTCTCTGGCTGTATTACGCACAAGACAAGAATTAGCTGTAATTAGACGCTTCAATACAACTGCGACTTACTTGATTCGAAGCGGTGGAGCTCTGTTGTTTAGTGTTCTTAAGAGCCGAACCATCCGGTAAATTTCAAAGTTAAACCGAAGTCTGCATCCTACACCTGTTATAATTTTGACGAATTCTTTACCGATTGACCGATTGACATAAATTGACGGCCTTTTTACGAGGTGTCAATTAGTTTGATGGCTATGAAAAGTCACAATTTGAAACAGTGAATTAATTAAACAATAGATACAGTACGCCTATTAAAAGACAGAAGAAGCCAGGGTAGAGTAGTCGGTATAGCGACTGGCTACGGACTGGACGACTAGGGGGTCGGAGTTCGAGTCCTTTCCATATGCTCCAGACTGACTCTGAGGCCCACCCAGCCTCCTATTCAGTGGATAAAGGGGGCCCTTTCGCTGCGAGTAAAGCGTCCGGGGCGTGAAGCTGACCACTTACCTCCAGCTAGTGCTGAGGTCAAGAAAACGTGGATCTATACATCCACTCCCCCATACGCCTTCATGGCGTAATGCTTAGTTGAGCACAGGGACAACTTTACCTTTAGTAAAAGACAGATTTGAGGCTTTTATTTAAAAGAAAATTGTGTAACAAGAATGAGGTAGTAAACCTACGAATAAACAAATTGGAAATTAAGCCGTCCGTTGAAAATCACCGAAGTTTACGAGGAATATGTCACCTCTAGATTCAGGGTCGAAGAATAAGACAAGCAAGAAACCAGCATGAAGAAGGTAGCAAGGAGGTAAGAGATGTGTTTGCTGTCTACCTCCTCTGAAACATAGGTTGATTTTCAGCGAGCTACGCCGTGTTATATCGCAGAAGATGGAACTCTTCAAAGCGACAAACAAATCTGTCTTTCTTGAGAATAGATGCTCAGGTATCCCGCGAACTTTCCGAACCTGACTGTTCATTACTCTGTTCAAAAGAGTCCGCAGAATCCAGGATCATTCGACACTTCAGATGTTCCTCAGACAAGTTGGTACCTATCTAGCAGACTACACGGCGGCAGGTCCCAGATGACATAAGCTGCCCGAGAGCCTTAATTGTAAGGTGTAGGATTTAATTTATGCACGCATTTAATTAAGTTTTCTGTCAACATATTGTCAAGTGATAGAGCGACTATAGACAGGTTTTGGATTGGTAATTGGATTTATTGAACACTTTCAGATCGTAACTACAAGTAACTATAGCGCTATCGCTAATTCACGCGCTCTATAATTCACAATAGCACGCACTAAGTCTTCTCATTCTGCTGTTTTCACCGGTCGTTGTTTGGTAACGTCTTCGAAAGCCGTAGCTTCATGAACTTCTGTGTTCACGCCCTTTACTGGCCGGCGCGGCGACTGCCTCCAATTAACTAAACTTTTCACTTCACTCAACTCAACTGAACTAACCCCAATGGCTGTCTGCTTATAACATCTGCGTATTGGCCGTACAGAAAGTACCGTTCCAACAGTTCCATTGTTGCGTCATGCAGCTGTCGCAAGGACCGCGTAGAGAACACCTTTTCCAAGCTAGTTCATCGGTGCTTGTTAGGAATCGTTGCCTACCAACGGGCATTGTTCACAGAGTCATTACCTAGCAACGGTTCTACATGCTACAATATTGTCACGTAATATTGAGTGACTATAGACGGGGTTTTGTATTTGACATTGGATTTATTGACCACTTACAGGTCGTTATTATACAGAACTATATATTTGGAGTGTAGTATTATACTATCGCTATTTCCACGCTTGACAAAATCACGTTGTCTTTTCCAGCCGCAGTGCCTTCGCTAGTTGTAGCCTGGTAACGGCTTCTAACAATGGCTATTTTTCTGCTTCCGAGTGAAGTCTTGTGTGAACGGCGGCTCCCTTCCAACTGCCTATTATTGCTTCAGGTGTCCTCCATATAAACTCTCGGCACGGACCACCGTAGGAAACCCCGTTTCCAACAGTACCTCTGTCGTTACTTGCATATCCGTTGCCGCGGAAGTATGTTTACCGAGCCGTTCCTTATCAACGGCTGTCTATTCTTGCTTATTAAAATCCGTTGCCTAGCAGCGAATGTTGTTTCATTGTTTCGTGGTCGTTGCCAAAAAAACGGGTCTGTAACGTTAAATTTGTCCCTGTGCTTAACTAATTAAGCACTACGCCATGAAGGCGTAATAAAAGTCATATTTGATTGAAATCTGTCTTTTTATAAATCGATAAAACATGCTTAAGGCGCTTGGTTAACACCCTAAAAGCTCCTCCATATTTGGGAACAGTTGTAAAATGGTCTCTTCCATCCAGCATGATGATGGTGACGGCTGCATTTTGGTACGGAAATTGGTGATGTAAATATACGCACGTCCGGCTGTGAAGAGTTCTAAACGAATAGTACAGCTCCACACCGTGGCGCACATCTGTTGGCTGGGGATGGGGGAAGTGCCGGCATGCCGCCTGCATGCCAGAGCCATCAGAACATGTCTCCTCGGCCGCCAGCCAGTCCCATTCTCCCCCACTCCAGCTAAACATTCCCCCCCTCCCCCTCCCATTTCCACACTGTTTAGTAGTGGCAGCACTGAGTGTACGTCCCAAAACTCGCCGGCGCCGGGTTGCTACGAGTTTCAGTCGCGCTCCGGCTACGGTTGACGTTCGGAGATTTTTGGAGAACGTGTCGTCAGCCCTCCCTGCAGTAGTTTTGTTCTGCTTGCGCGTCAATCGTCAGTTCCATGCGATTGGAAAGACAAGTGACAATAAAAGCAGTTTCATACAGCCTATGATATTAAACCATGTAATTGAAACATTTGTGTTGCATTAAGAACACATGCCCAAAATTTCACATACGTTTATATTTAAGAAAATAAATGTGCAACACATTTTGTTGGGATTTTGTGTTTATGCGTAACATAAATTCTCATAAGTCTAACTTAAAGCAAAGAGGTAGCACATGAAATTACAGACTTTTTAGAAGTAGTTTCTAGGAATTAAGTAAAAGAAACGGAAAAAAACACAGGAAGTGTGTGTGAGAGCGTGTGTTTTGTGTGAAGTGTGTGCACCAACTATTTGTCATTTGTTTGTTTGTCCCTGACGGGTTGTAACATCTATTCAAGCATGTGATGGTTTTTGCTCAGCGCCAGTTCAGTGCATTTAGCCTGTTTGAAGAACTTACCATCATTCATGTCTTCCTGAATGTCGCCAAGATAGGATCATCTCTTCCTGAAAGGTATGAATTCTGCATGTATGAAATTATACACTTTATTTTGATATGTTATAGTAACTTGTATAATTTTAAGTCTTTAGATTGCCGATAAACCATTTAAGAAAACGTGCGTATGCTTTATGCGTAATTCGTAAGATAATTAAATAACAAAGTTGACGTCTCCTGCATGGCTTAACACAGTCGTTTGCCATATTTGCAGCCTTCAGATATTAGATGTTAGAATTTCTTCATTACAAATATTACTAAAAATCTATTTCCAAGTGTTGAGGCGGACATTGTGATGTCAGAATATATTTACGTTTCTTGAATTATCAAATGAGTTTCAAAAATATTTAATTAATTTAAAGGGAGAAATGTTTAATCATTTGCTGTAAAATCTTTACAGACTGAAATCATATCAAATGTTATTTGCAAGACAAGATCAGGGTTGCAATTGCAATTTTATTTTGATGTTTTTTTTAATGAAGTAAGTGCCGTGAATAAACAAATAATAGTAAAAGTAAAGGTAAAGTTGTCCCTGTGCTTAACTCATTAAGCACTACGCCATTTGGCGTATGGGGGAGTGGATCCATATTTTCTTGACCTCGGCACTAGCTGGAGTCAAGTGGTCAGCTTCACGCCCCTGCCGCTTTACCCCCGGGGAAAGGGCCCCCGGTACCCATTGGATAGGAGGCTGGGTGGGCCCCAGAGCCGGTGTAGAAAATTTGGGGAAGAGAAAATTCTTGACCCTACCGGGACTCGGAACCTCTACCCCTCGGTCGTCCAGCCCGTAGCCAGTCGCTATGTCGACTACGCTATAATAGTTCGTGTATGAAAACTATTTTAATGGAATAAATATGCCTTCAAAGAAACCGTGTAGTAGTTCATGTATTAAAACTGTTTAGTCGAATAAACATGCCTTCAAGGAACCCGAGTAATACACTGAAAATATTTTAATCGAGTAAGTATGCCTTCAAGGAACCCGAGTAATAGCTCATGTGTGAAAACTATTTTAATCAAATAAATATGCCTTCAAGGAAAAAGGAGTAATAGTTCGTGTATGTAAACCATTTTAATCGAATAAATATATTCTTTCAAGAAATCCGGATAATGGTTCGTGTCTATTTTAATCAAATAAATAAATATGCCTTCAAGGAAACCGAATAAAAGTACATGTATGAAAACTATTTTATTCGAATAAATACACCTTCAAGGAAACCGAGTAATTGTTTATGTATTAAAATATTTTAATCGAATAAATATGCCTTCAAGGAAATCGTACAGTATGTAAGATTTGAGGTTTTCACGGCGGTGACTATGAAGAAAGCAGCCTTCTGGGATTTGGCACCGTGTATATGTGGTGTTAACCAGTCTGTTTTTACCGGTTCTCACGGTCTCTTCGCTTGCAGATTTCTTATATTTTTTCTTCTACCCTGAAGATGGAGGCGATACGTTCCTCCGAAACGTCGGTTAACACCTCATATACACGGTGCCAAATCCCAGAAGACTACTTTCTTCAAATCGTACAGTAGTTCGTGTATAAAAAATATTTTAATCGAATAAATATTCCTTCAAGGAAACCGAATAATGGTTCATGTCTATTTTAATCGTATAAATATACTTTCAAGGAAATCGAGTAATAGTTCATGTATCAAAATTATTGTAATCGAATAAATATGCCTTCAAGGAAACCGTAAAGTACTGTGCAAAAACTATTTTATTTGAATAAATATGCCTTCAAGGAAACCGAATAATAGTTCGTGTATGAAAACTATTTTAGTCGGATAAATATGCTCTCAAGGAGACCTCACTTAGTATTTTAATCGGATAAATATGTTTTCAAGGAGACCTCACTCAGTTGCCACGACGTGCAAACTTTCTTTACAGTGCGCAGAAAACTTTTAGTCACTCATACGAGTAATTATAACAATAACAGAAATGTTGTATAAATATTATTAGGTTTCTCAAACCAAGGAGGATCAGATGGATGGGTCATATGTCGCGAATGGGCGGCGGAAACGCAGATTTTCAGTTGGTAGGCCTAAACGGAAGAGACCATTAGGTGGAGTTAGGTGTCGTTGGGAGAACAGGTTAAAGAAGTAGGATATGAGGTTATGGACTGGACTAATCTGGCTCAACACGGATAGGCTCTTATGAACACGGCAATTAACCCATCAGTTTCTATAGAATCCAGGGAATCTGATTACCCGAGCGAATATTAGTTTATTAAGTAAGATTGTCTTCCATGCAATTAAAATATTTTTCAACTAATGTGTGAATCTCAATTATGTACTTCTTACGACTTCGGTGTCTTTGTTTAATGACAGTAAATTACATTAGCAGCACTATCGTGTGTACCTGCATTACAATCGTCCTGTACACCTTTCAGTTCAAACGTTCTATCTTTATCACTGTGATTAAGCACTTTAATGTATAAATTACCAAGTTTGTGTGCACTCAGTAATCATGTAAGGAATGGAAAATTTCAAGACATGACTGTTTAATTTTGCCTTAAATCATAGTAACATTGCACTATATGTGAAATGAAATTAATGCAGTGGTGACATGGAACCTTACTTTTTGTATTTATACCCTTCTAGCGTTTCTGGTCCGAAGCCAGTGACGTTTGGTTTGCCCATCTCCCACACGTAATTCTACACAACTTTCCTTGTAATTATTTTCACTATTATGGAATCCTGGAGCCCAAGTTTTTAAAAGAGTCAACACGCGTTATTATGCTGGACAGTCGTCCTTTTGTAATTGAGCCGGGGTAGCCCACTCGGAGAGCAACGGACTACGGGCGGGACGGCCGGAGCTTTATTCTAGGCAGGGCAAGATATTTGTCTTTTCTGCACAGCGTCTAGACGGGCTCTGGGGCGAACTTGTCCTCCTCCCCAGTGGGTACTGGGATATTCCCCCAGAGGATATCGCGGCCTGGCCGTGAAGCTCACATCTTACTTCCATGTGATGCCGAGGTCAAGAATGATGGAGCTATACCTCCACTCCCTCGTATGTGTTAAGCACAGGGCAACTTTAACTTTCACCTCTTATCATTCTTTATGTAAGTGTGGAGTTTCTTAACCTAGCCTACCGTTGGTATAACCCTTACAACCCTTCTGTAAAGTGGGGTACTAGTGTGCTGTTCGAAGGGGCAGGCACAGTATTCACTTATCAACACGATCTTCATACCAAATGCCGCATCTCTTGGTTTCTGCAATGAGGATTGAGGTTTGCGTTTCAAGAAGTGAGCTGAGAACATGGTCGAGTCTAGAGATGGGGCTCTTGTGAACACGGTGACAAGTCTAAAGGTGCCATAGATAAGCCTCTCTCAGCTACTGACGGCTCCGTGGGGTTTGTAGGTTGTGTTGCTGAAGTATCTGTTTAAAGTCTGCTTGATTCAAAATTCCTTTTCAGTAACTACAATTAATAGAATTTTTTAAGGAACGTGCAGTGGGCGAAGCAGGAGAGCCTCAAGTTAAAACGTGCCCGAGAACAGCTTCATTTCCCGATAGAGATTTATCAGCTTGGTGATGGGGTGTTAGTTAGTCGTTAGTAATAGGATATCATATATAATAGTAAAATGTCGCTGGTGTGATATCTTTGTCATAAATGTTCACGCCCCAACAGAAGATAAAATTGTGACATAAAGGACAGGGTCTATGAAGAACTAGAACATGTATTTTATAATTCCCGAAGTGCCCTATGAAAATTTTGTTAGGAGATTTCAATGCCAAAGTAGGGAGGGAAGACATTTTCAAACCAACGATTGGGAATGAGAGTTTGAATGAAATTAGTAATGATAATGGAGTTAGAGTAGTAAACTTTGCCACATCAAAAAATCTTATTGTCAAAAGTACAATGTTCCCCCATGGTAACATTAATAAATTTACATGGACATCTGATGGGAAGATACACAATCAAATAGACAATATTTTGATAGATAGGAGACGGCACATAAGTATACTTGATGTCCGATTATTCAGGGCAGCAGACTGTAATACTGACCACTACCTGGTAGTGGCAAAGGTTAGGGAAAGACCGGCAGTGAGTAAACAAAGAGCACACAGAGTTCATATGGAGAGGTTCAATCTCAAGAAATTAAACGAGGTAGAGGGTAAAGAGCAGTAATGTGTTGAAATCTCAAATATGTTCGCGGCTTTGGAAAACTTAGACACTTAGGTGGATTAATAAAGCATGGGAAACTACTGGAGAGAATATCAAAATTTCTGTCAACGAGAGTCTAGGTTATAAACTAAAGAAGCATAAGCCATGGTTCGATGAAGGATGATCAAAATTATTAGATCAAAGAAGGCAGGCCAAATTGCAATGGTTACAGGATCCAAACGAGTTAAATGGCGATAATCTGAACAATATAAGATGTGAAACCAGAAGGCATTTCAGGAACAAAAAGAGTAGCTGCGGAATTGGGGGCTCCTCCAGAAGGGCTCAACTCCTTGAGTGAGTGAGTGAGTGAGTGAGTAGTAGTAGTAGTAGTAGTAGTAGTAGTAGTAGTAGTAGTAGTAGTAGTAGTAGTAGTAGTAGGATGGATCCAACAAATTAGGACGTGTCCGCAGAAAAGTTTTCTAATTTACTGTATGTCACATCAGCTTCATTAGAATTCATAATTCATACAGTTATAATTATGATTTGGGTGACTTAAAATTGCACACATTATTTTTGAGTGACGTTATATTTAGGCATGAATTATAGGGAACGTTTATAACGGTTCTATTGCTTGCCCGCTCTTTGCTTTTAGAGCCTGTTAGTATCAAACTTCGAGTCAGGAAAACCAGTGACTAAATATCTTTTACACTTCGTTTAGAGATTCTAAATATCTTCTGCACTTCGTTTAGAGACTCTAAATGTCTTATGCACTTCGTTCAGAGATTCTAAATATCATCGGCACTTCTTTTTCGTTTAGAGACCCCAAATGTCTTGTGCACTTCGTTTATAGAGATTCTAAATATCATCTGCACTTCGTTTTCATTTAGAGACTCTAAATATAGTCTACACTTCGTTTAGAG